CTCGGACCTCATGCCTCCATGACAAACAGTTCACTGACCACACTATCTCTCTAGCCCCTGGTCTAAGGCCCTGAAGGAGAGAGACCCTGTTACAAAAACTAAAAACAGGGCTGACAAGATGGCTCAATGGCTCAGCTGGTAGAAAGCCAGAACTGACTCCTGAAGTTGTCTTCTGACCTACACACACACACACACACACACACACACACACACACACACACACACACACACAACACAAATATATAACAATAATAAACACATATACACAAACAAAGTGAAAAAACAAAAAAAAAAAAAAAAAAAAGTTAAAGAGAGCTGAGGATGTATATAGCTCAGTAGTAGTTTAGCTGAGCATGTACGAAGCCCTAGGTTCAACCCCCGGTACCGTGAAACAAACAAATGTTTGGGTCATCTGGAAGGTGACGAGTGAGATACAAGTCATCAGACCAATGCAGCCGGCTTTGGCCTCTGCAAGGGAACAGAATTCCTTCTGTTAAACGCTTGTGTTAGAGGTGTTGTCTTTACATACTATAGCTACAAACACAGGGTCCAAGGCAGGGGACTATCTTTGTTTGATTAAACTTCTTGTTTGTTGGTTTTCTGAGATAAGATCTTGCTATGTAGCCCAGGCTGGTCTCCAGCCCTCCAGGCCCCTATGGCCACCACACCCAGCTAGAACATTGCCTTCAAAGACATACTTGATGTGGGAAGATGATTTTTCTATGTGGGACATCTGGAAACAGAGGTAATTAATTGTAGGCTCACTGTAGGACACACAGTTTCCAAATGTCAGTAGCCAACACCGCCCCCCTCCCCCCCCCCACATACCTTGCGCTGTAGCCCAGTATTGTGGATTGAACTCAGGGCCTTGTACATACTCTACTACTGAGCCACACCCAAACCCCCTCACTGGTGGACTCCAGGCACGTGCTGTACCACGGAGGTATCTCCTCAACCCCCCTTTTACTTTTTATTTTGAGACATGCCAGTAAGGTGCTCAGGCTGGCCTTGAACTCACTCCACGTGTGCCTTGAGCTTCGCATCCTCCAGCCTCAGCTGCTAGAGTACCTGGTATGACAGCCCTTCACTGTGCTTGGCTGGCTAGGTCATTCTTTTCATTTGCTGAGAGCGTCTGACTAAGTTCACTTAGAATAGCACATACCCGCCTGGAGCTTTGGTCACAAGGCTCATCTGGCTAAGGGGGCTACTGAGTCTGCCCTACATTCTGGTCGAGAGTTTAATATGTACCAAATGTTAAAGCCCTTTCAGAGACACAAAGGACTACCAGAGACCCAGCTCAGGTCTTGGAATCCCAGGGCCCTCACACTGGCCCCACCACACACCCATACCAGCCATGAGATCTCTGTTAAGCTATTTAACCTCTGTATTTGCTGGGGCTCCCCCACCCACAGAATGTGGGTAATTATAATGCCTATCTCCCAGACCTTCTGATAATCTGATGAGATCATGCACTCAGAATATTTTAGCACAAGGCCTGCCACAGATTCAGAACAGGCAACGCTAATGGTGCCATTAGGTGGAAGGAAAAACATCATTGAGATGTCAATACGCTACAAAAGCCTCACCATAGAGCAGAGCCCAGAGCCAGGCACAGAGGCGACAGTGTGGTGTTGGTGTTGGCTCGGCTGTGTTTGGGCACTGCGTGTGTGCCTGTGAGGCAGGGTTAAACTGGATTCCACCATTAGCATGTCTAAATGGAGCTGATTTGCAAAACATCTGTTCTCTTTGGAATCTTCCCTTCTTCCAGGACTTCTGTTCATGCTACCCCCGGTGCACAGGCTTCCATGAGCGCAAGCAGGCGCTACTAATTAGTGAAACAGAATGAATCCACCCTCTCACAAAAAACCGTGTCCTCCAGAACACCCTCTGGGAGGCCTCACTCCACCTGCCTCACTTTAATCTGGTTCTTGTCCCCTCCAGGAGTATCAGCTGAAGCTGACAGTCACGGTCACATGGTCATGCCACGAAGAGGGTGTTCCCCAGGCTGCGTCCTCCTGTGGCTTTAGCAAAGTGGAAGATGCTCTGTGCCTACAGGAGAGGCTTCGTGAGGCTAAAGAGGGCACTGGGAGGTGAGGACGGCCGGGGGACTGCAGTGTCAGCCTCTGGGGTTCATAGAGATTCCTCAGGAACGACACCTGGCCCTCCCACCCTAGACCTGACAACTGTGTGTGTTGCCTCAGGTTGGGGTTAAGGAACCCAACCCTCAGATAAGGGGTTGCTTTGCCAGGACAGCTCCAAGTCTGTGTCCCAGCACCTCCCTGTGACACCGGTTGGGCCATCTGGACCTCATTGCAGAGGTTGCATCATCGGGCTGTTTTGCCACTTTGAGGTGATCCCACTCCCGCCAAGGGTGGGGTGGGAGCCGGACTGTTCAGGAAGCCAGAGCTGGGAGGTCAGGCCAGCTCGGTGCTCCTTTGTCGGGGGCCATGGCAAAAGTAACCTTGGACCTGTAAGGGACTTGGGCTGCTTCAGAGAAAGTTGCCAGCATTTTAAGAACAACCCCTTATGTTAAAAGAATAGCTGCCTTCAGTCCTTTCTTCCTGATACATAACATCTGGGCTCATGAAGTAGCTTATAGAAGGAAAGATACATTTCATGGTCAGGTTACCTAGCAACCCTTCCCCCCTTCTAACTTCTAACACCTGTACTCTGCGACCTTGGTAACATCTTGTACTCTCAAGGACTCACACACAGGGACATTCCTCAGCCTGGTTATCAGGCAAGCAGCCTGAAACGGCCTCTCCCTTCCTGCCAAGCTCCCCGCTTGGCACCCCGATATAAGGTCCCTGTGAAAAATAAAAATTGCAGCTTGATCAGAAACCTGTCTTGCTGCCGTTCCTTGTTCTCCCTGACCCTATCGTTCTAGGTTCTTCATATCGGGGTGTGAGCTCACAGGTCGGGGCACTCCTTTAGTTGGGTCTCTGGGACACTTGTTTCTGTTCCTTTGTGTTTCTGGTTTCCTTGCCTTCCTAGGTCATCTATGTGAGATCCAGGAGCACATGGATAATAGGCATGGCCCAGGCCCGGGAGAGGAAAGTGCGGAGCTGGGCCCCGGGATGAGTGGGTGCAGCGCTGATGGCCCCAGTCTCCATCCCATTGTACACAAGGCATGCTGCCAGCGGATAGAAAGGGGAATCGCACACAGTTCCTGAGCCGGGGATTTAGCTCAATTGGTAGAGTGCTTGCCTAACATGCCCAAGGCCCTGGGTTTGAGTCCCAGCATCACAGAAACCAGAGGTAGTGGTGCAAGGTTGTAATCCCAGCACTCTTGAGGTGGAGGCGGAAGGCCCAGAAGTTCAAGGTCATGCTTGGCCGTATAGTGAGTTTGAGGCCAGCCTGGTTAGAGA